CCTCAGTATGTATCTCTAAATGCTATTGGTTAATTTTGCCTGTGTTTGAACTTCATATAAATGGAGTAATACAGGATAAGTTCTTTGGCTTCTCCTTTGTTCACCCATGATTGTGAAACTCTCCACGTTACATGTGGTTTTAGTCATTCATTTTCATCGTGTAACATTTCATTGTGTTACACCTGTAGATCCACCCTATGTTGATGGACATATGTTTCCAATTTTTGGCTATTATGAATCACGTTACTATGTACATGTCTCTTGTGGCATATGTATATGCATTTCTGTTGGGTATATATCAAGAATAGAATTGTGTATCTTAGCTTTTAATATTAAAAACATGTTTCTGATACTGTAGTTCTAAACAAAAGCCATGACAAGGAAAACATGGCGTAGAATGTCAGATACGGATTACTGCCAAGTTAACCTGTTCAATTTCATGAACTACTGAACTTCAGCCAAATGAGTTTCCATTTCCTTCTACATACCTACTATTCTGTCTAAATAGTCTTCCCTACTATCTCTGCCTAGTTGACTTCTTTTTTTTTTTTGAAGATTTTATTTATTTATTTATTTATTTGAGAGAGAGAGAGAGAGAGAGAGAGAGAGACAGCAAGAGACGGAATATAAGCAGGAAGAGTAGGAGAGGGAGAAGCAGGCTTCTCGGTGGGCAGGGAGCCTGATGTGGGGCTTGATCCCAGGACTCTGGGATCATGACCTGAGCCAAAGGCAGATGCTTAATGACTGAGCCACCCAGATGCCCCTGCCTAGTTAACTTTTACTTATCCCTAAGATTTTAGCTTGAGCATCATGGCTTTTCTTCAATGATAGATTCTCTTGCTACCCCAGACCTGTGCTTCTTATTTCTCCACTTGCTGCAATTGTTTTACAACTGTGAAACTAACTGGGGATCTCTCCAATACTGCCCCCTTAAAGTCAGGGTGTGCATAGGTGGTTTCTGCATCACAGTATCCTTGCACTTAGCACAGCACCAAATAGGTCAGAGAACTCAATAAATACTTGATGCATATCTACCTTCTCTTCACAGTCAGGGTACCCAATTCAAATGTTGTTTCTTCTGAATGTTTTGTTCTTGGGGCCACCACCGATACCATCCTTTGAAAATAAATTTTTATTATGCAAATGATTGTCCTAAGTCCCATGGGCCAAAGAAGATTGAATATGAGGGACTTAGCAACTAGGCCCATCATCATAGAGAATAATTCTGCATAAAGCTTACAAAACATGGAGCGTTTATCAAATGGTGCATACTATTTAAGTGATATTTCACATAGCAACTGATTAATTTCACAAAAGTGAGCAGGGTCATCACAAAATCAAGCAAAAAGAGGGAATTTCAATCATTTACTTTCAACATAATGTGAACAGCAGCAATCTACTTTTCTATTATTTTTTTTTCTTTATCACCAGATGACAAATTTCTCCCATAACCAGTCATTCTGTGTAATTAATCCTCTATAAATACATTGGTAAGCTTTTTCTGCTTGTTCGGTTTTTAATAAAAATTGCTCAGTGGCAACTATTGTAGAAAATCCAAGGTTTCTGTTCTTGATACATCTAATTTACTTATATTCCAAGTGTTAATTTAACAAAACTATTACAGGTAGCAAAGTTTACTTCCTCAATATATTAATAACCTTCATATGCTCTAATTACAAGTTAAATGCAAAAATTGTACAAAAAGTATTTTTCCTATCAATACCTAACTTATAAGAAAATCTCAGTGACAGCATTTGTATAGCACTGAATGGTCTAGAAGGGATGTTGAAGAAATTTTTTTCAAGCCCTTGCAAACTATTAATATCGTCAAAGTAAAAACTTGTGGATACTGAAACTGAAAATAACTGAAACTGAAAATAAATAAAGTTAAAACCAGGGTTACTACCAACACACAGTGTAAGACTGGGAATTATTTTACTAGTGTCATTAAAAATTTTTTTGGGGGGGGTGTGGGTGGCTCAGTGGGTGGTGCCTCTGTCTTCGGCTCAGGTCATGATCTCAGGGTCTTAGGATCCAGCCCTGCATTAGGCTCTCTGCTCAGTGTAAAGCCTGTTTCTCCCCTCTCTGCCTGAATCTCTGCCTACTTATGATCTCTCTTTCTCTTTGTCAAATAAAATCTTGAAAAAAAATTTTTTTTTTTTTTTGGAGAGAGAGTGTGCATGTACGCAGGGGAAAGGGGTAGAGGAAGAGAGAGGGAACCTCAAGCAGACTCACAGCTGATCTTGGAGCCTGATGCAGGTTCAAGATCATGACCTGAGCCGAAATTAAGAGTCAGATGCTTACCACAGAGCCACCCAGGAGCCCCTTACTAATGCCACCTTAATCATCCTGACACTCTTTCCTTTAATTAACCTCCAACCATGCTGCAACCTCAGCATATCAAAAGAATTTCAAATGAGAAACCTAACCTTAAGCTTCAGGTTTAATAATATACCGTGTACAGGGAATTCTTTCAGATCACTACACTCCACAGAGACATGGGTAGTGTCTAAAGTTTATACCAGCCTGTTGCAAAGAAAATATATTCACAAGTGGAACTTTCCTCAGAAAATATCATGATTTGAAGTTCAAAGATGTAAGAATGTCTAAACTTTACTGATGTCAAAATCTTATTTTTGGATTTATTTAAGAAGTGGCAACAGAAAAAAAAAAAAAAAAAAAAAAAAAAAAAGAAAGAAGTGGCAACAGATTCTCAAACATACAAACTACTGCCAGGAAATCATACAAATGAGAAATAATACAGAAACTGTGATTCAGTTTCTCAAGGGAAATTAAAGAAACTATTTATGAAAGGATGATAAAGCACTATTATTTTACGTTACCAGAGCAGAGAACTGCTTAGGGTGATTTTTAGCTCTATTAAGCCTTATTTCAGTCTGCCATGCCATGCAACCAGAAAGAAATGTATTAATACAAGCCTCTGATTTGTGTTGTTTTCCTTTGTTGCAAAGAACAACACAACAAACTCAACTTCTTCAACTACAAACAAAGAAAAATAAAAAAAGAATTGTACGAGGGGCGCCTCGTTAGCTAAGTAGGTAGAGCATGCAACTCCTGATCTTGGGGTTGTGAACCCCATGTTGTGTGTAGAGACTACTTAAAAATAAAAATCTTAAAAAAAAATTGTATGGAAGATATTATAACTTCAAAATGCGTCACAATTCCCTAGAGCCTAAAACTGGCTAAAATATACATAAAAATGTAAAAGACAAGTAAATAACAATCATTTAAAATATTCAACTAGTTTTGCTGAATATGAAAAATACTGTTTTTATTAGTTTGTAGAAGCTTTGTTTTATTCAATGTTTAATTACACTGGAATTTTAAAAAATAAATTTGACTAAATTTTAAACAATAAAAATATCTACTTCATTATTTTAAGTCAATGCAAATTTTCACTAATTTAAAACTTTATATTAGCATTTTAATATTGGGGAATTTTTGGAAACATACATTGTTATATATAAAACTGTCTCATAATAGACCTTAAAAATAAGCAAGTTTAATAATGGTTCATAAAGCTTTATAAACCTTCCTAACTTGTTTAATACAATGAAAATTATAGATTTTAATTTTTAATCAAAATTTCAATTATTTTACAATCACTTTGAAACAGAAGTAAATATTTCTCATAATTCTCCTTTTGAGGATTAACATTCATCATGATTACTACAACTGATAACACTTAAAAACAGACAGACACACACATAAACACACACAACTAGAAGAGACGATCTGGCTAGTTCTGTCTTAAAATACTAATAAACTAATAATTAGATTGGAATCATGATTTAAAATCAACATAACTTAGAAAATATTATGATATAAAAACTCAAGGAAAGGACATTGTCATGGTCAGCTTATCACTGTTAGCAGTACTGTACCTTGTACAAATTTACAAATCATTTCCAAACTGACAATCTGTTTTAACGACTTTGCTTATTAGCACATGAAGATGTTGGCTGAGCTTGTAACATTATGAACTGTATCTACATAGACCCTGAGCAGGGTAGTTGTCACGATTAAATGCTATTATTTTTAAATACCTTTTTAGAACACAAATACCTTATCTTACGTCATTAGGGAATAAACATGACCCACATATGTAACCTTTTATTCACATCTTAAAGAAATGATAGCTTAAAAAAATTAAACCATTTTTTGATAGAATGGTTCCCAAAATGCCTTGACTTATTGCTTAGTAAAATACTACCCCTGGTACCAAACCCCCAGCTTCTTAGGGAAGATTCCAGAGTCAACACCATGTACATCAAATATAATAATTCATTGTAAGAAAGTACTGACTTTAGAAATTCCTTATATGTGACAAATGTTTATTTTATAGTTGTTGCATCTGCAGTTATTGACCCTTCCTCATAACTTCATATTATTTTAGGCTCTAGAAATTCTATCCCTCTGGGTGCTTCTATTTGTTGCCCTAAGCTTGTTTAAAAAAATTAGTATATGTAATTTTCACATTACTCTACCTCAAAGATAGTTTCACACTTTTCCTGCAGCTTAAAATAAGTTTTTTTCTTTTTCTTTTCTTTTCTTTTTTTTTTTTTAGCAGGAGAAGGGGTGAAAGAAGGAGAGACAGGCTTGGTACCTTGTTAATTTTAAGACTTGCTTGAGAGTTGCTGGATATTTCCCGACACATTCAGCTGCTAAAGGAATACATACTAAGGATGGCCATGGCCATGTTAGCACATTGAGGACAGCAGTTAACTCTTCCAGCTGAGACCAGAAAGAATAATATAATAATTTGCTAACAGTTATCAGGCATTTGCCATTTTATGGACATAAATATTTTATCTACTTTACAAAGTAATATTAACTAAAGTACATGTAGAGCCTATGAAATAATTTGCAACAAAAATTTTACTAGTTAAATTTCTTAGGGCTTAACAAATACTGTACATTTGTTAAAGAGTACCTGATACTTGTTAGTAATACAGGACAAGGTGTTCTAAAGCAAAACACAGCTGGGAAGCATTTTATTTTTTTCTACTTCATTTAACATTGTTCAGGACCACAAGATTTTAAAGGTCTCTTTCCAGCAACTTTTATAACTTAGGAGTACCACTTAAAAATATTTACTGATGCTATAAATATTAGTATTTTTCTACATATTAACAATTATAATAATGCCATATCCATTAAACTTCTGTTCCTTTGGTCAGAAAGATGAACAGAAACTGAAATCAGACAGTCATTCAAAAAAGTTTTTTCAAAGCATAACCAAGCAAACCTACTTCAGCAACTGTTAAAATTAGTTTTAGTTAGACTTCTTAATAAGGACATACTGAAGCACATATGAGACTTTTAAAGTATATACAATTCAAAAAACAAATTTAAATTTATAAATAAAAAGATTAATGGCCAAATTAAAGAATGGTTAAGCATCAGATTTAAAATATCTTAACTTTTAGGCTATTCAGAAATATATTTTGTGAATAATAAGAATTATTTCATAAATATATATGTATAAATATAAATATATATCTACAGGATCTGTGATGCAGGAGAAAACCCTTTAAAGAAAAAAAAATTGCACTTTTAGATTATCAGGATGTTGCCATATTTACCCTTTGAATGAAATATAATTACCATTCCAGGTGCTTTTGGCACAAGTTTTTAGGTGAATATTGACACAATTTTAAAAACACAATGCTTTTATATTTTATTCACTGGAATATGAAGAATCAAACAGAATTGGGAATTCTGACCCCCCAAAATCCAGAAAACTGCAAACGCTTAATTAAATACAAAAAATATGGTTTTAAAAAGACCTCAAAACTGCCTTTCATGTAGAACATGTAAAATTTTACCATCAACAGGTTTTCTTCAATCACCTCAGCAAGAATTCCCCTACTACACACAAATGTAACATTGCCTTTTCTACTCATATATGACTTAAATCACACCCCAGTATATAAGGACAAAAAATAAATGTATAGTAAAAAGATAGGATAAATCAGGAGAGGCTTTTTGGTCTTGAATTCTTCACCCACTAACAATGAAGCAGCACTGTAGGCAGCCCAAAACACACCAAACAGCTTTAAAAAAAAACAAACAAAAAAGACAAAAGACAGCATATTAGCAAGTCAATTAACATTTTTTGGTATCAGAGAGTAAAATAAAATTAACGGTATTTTCTTAAAACAACCCTGACAACCAAGAGTGATGAACAGTACAACTTACTGAGAATGTTTAAATTAAGAATGTTTGTGCTTGTTCTGTTCCTTGTCTTATGCAAACGAAATCTTTTGTTATCAAACTTGTCTCATCATAGAAATCACCTGGGTGCCTATTAAAAAGAGAATCCCAAGGGGCACCTGGCTGGCTCAGCTGGTGGAGCATGAGACTCTTGATCTCGGGGTTGTGAGTTTGAGCCCCATGTTGGGTGTGGAGCTGACATAAAAATAAAATCTTTTTTTTTTTTTTTAAAGATTTTATTTATTTATTTGACAGAGAGAGAGATCACAAGTAGGCAGAGAGGCAGAAAGAGAGAGAGAGGGGGGAAGCAGGCTCCCTGCTGAGCAGAGAGTCCTAAGCAGGGCTGGATTCCAGGACCCTGAGATCATGACCTGAGCCCAAGGCAGAGGTTTAACCCACTGAGCCACCCAGGCACCTCTTAAAAATAAAACCTTAAAAAGAAAAAAAAAAAGAATCCTGGGATTCATTCTAGCTCTGTTGAATCAAAATCACTAAGGAAAGGGTCTTGTTATCAGTCTTTTTAACAGTGTCCCTTGTGATTTGGGCAACTTTTGGCCAACTGCTTCAAGAAATTTGGTTGCTGAAAGAAAATGATGATCATTACAAAGTTAACCTTTTCCTGCTTCTTCTTCTAAGAAGTAGGAAAACAGATTAAGTGAAAATTTTACACAATGTTTATTAAGCGTAACAGCGTTTTCCCAGGAATAGGTAAAAATATAGAGTTAAATAAAAAGCAGGAAAAAAATAACATTTTGGTCAAGAGTTTAACTAAATAAAATGTACCATGGTTTTCTGATTATACACATAACCAATCTTAAATTATTTCCACTAGACATTTATACAGTACTTATTGATGTAGTAATTTTATAGAGTAAAATGAGAGGAAGAACTTCAAGGGTAGAAATCAAGGAAACTATGATAGAAAAAGACTTGACACGGGATAGGATTTCTCAACCTTACACTACTGACATTTTGGGGCTGGATAATTGTTGTTGGAAGCTGTCCTGTGCATTGGAGGATTTCTGGCAGTATCCCTGGCCTCTACCCACTACATATTACCAGTAAGATTCCACTCCTAACCCATTTGTGACACCCTAAAATGTCTCCAGACATGGCCAAATGTCCTTGGGAGGCAAAACTGCCCTTGAAAACCACTGGTAAAGAGGTCAAAAATAAATACTGGCAGGCTGAAAATGTGTTTGAGATGGTCCAATTTTCTACTGTGTTTTTTAAATTAAAACAAAAAAACTACAAAATATTTTAACTTTCAGAAAAGTATAGGGAAAAAAATAAGATTATGATCAAATTGCATTTGTATGTCAAACATTTTTTGTTATAAATAAATGGTTCAAGATTGGTAAGAGTTATACAGATTTAATGTTAAAAAATAGTGCTGGTAGATTAATCTGTATTCTAATGCTAGATTTAAATAAGAGTTTTGCAACATATTTCTCAACAAATTTTGGAATGAAACAAACATACAATACCTCACTATACAAAGAAGATTAATTAAATAACTAGGAAAAAATTTTTGGTGAAAAAAAATCTGAAGTTTAAAACAACTGTATCCTAAATTTTTAACAACATAAAAGACTGCCATTTTGTAATAACACATTCTTAAGCTGCATAAAGAATATTAAAGACCAACTTTCAGCTAAACTCGATTACTAAAAGTGACCAGAGGACACACAGTTTTATCAATTTTGGGAGTAGTCTCAGAAGTATTCAAACAGTCTTTAACCCAAGTTAAAACTGAATGATTCAGTAAAGTGGTATGTTCACTAAAGTTAGGCCAGCAATGGGACTAGCTTCTGTACTGCAAGACTTGTAAGCTAAGTGCTAATAATGCCAATTTAAAAAAAAAAAAGGATTTTAGGATTAGAATGGAGAGAAAAGAATGATATTCTACTTGGTCTCTAAAGTGTTCATGCAGTTCTAACATACAAAGATGTTCTCAAAATATTCTTTTATAATATTTGTAATGACAACAGCTACCCCTTGAGTGCCTACTCTGTATCAAATATACATCCTTTACCATCTACATAACAAACCCTAAAAAATAGTTGTCAAGATTCCCAATTTGCAGAGGAGGATAAGAAAAGATATCCCCCGGGCAAGGGAGGCAGCAGGTAAGTGGAAGAAACAGAATTTGAATTTAGAACTGACTGGTTCCAAAATCCATACTTTTAATACCTAATGCTTATATGTCAGTATTAGCCTGTAGTTACTCAATTCTAAAAGCAATAATTTCTTCTATATATGCATTAGTAATCAACTTTAAATAAAACCAAATGTTATAAAAATTAAGTGGCTCTACTTAAAAACAAATACTTTAAGGTGAAGGCTACATAACGGCAGTTCTGAAAGTGGTAGTCTTAAGTTCTACATATTTTCATAAAGAAAAAAATTACATTCATTGTATAATATACATACATGTGCTAAAGCATTTATTTCCCAAAATTTATACTTTCCCAAAATTAATACTTTATGTTATCATTAAATATTTAATATGGGTCTATATGTTAATTTAAATTTAACACAGTATAAAGAAATCCTGATATTTGCAATATAGAAAGGCCAATTTATTACAATCATGTCTATTATATTCGATAAGGCAGTTATTATTTAAATAGGAGTAACATTAAATAAATGTCCAGAAAAATTTTACTTAAATATCTCCCATAAAATCTAAGTCATATGAGGTTGTATTATAGAAAAGAAAAACTCAACATTAAAAAAATTATCTGGGTGTAGCATCTTGTAGCCTTGTTTGCTCTTTGTTCCTTACTCCCCTTCTAGACATACATTTTAATTTCTGGTGATTAAAATGGGAAAATAAAAGAAATAAAATTGGTAAAACCAATGAGTGAGATCACTGTTTCAAAACATTGAAAAATATATGACAGTTACGGATTACAATCTTCTTAGGCAGATACGAGTATACTTTTGTTCCTGGAAAACAGTTCATTACTTTTTTATAATATACACTACTTACTTTTATAAGTGTAGATACCACTTCGAATGATCCAACCACCAGAAGTATAGGGGCTATTACAATGAGAGGAAGTAGTGAATATCCTATAACTCCAAGAACTTGGCCATATGCAACCTGTGAATTTTAATGTTTTAAGTAAATATCATAGAAATCAAGATAATTATTTTAATCACTATAGAACATCACATATTCTTAGTTATACTTACATAAACACGACAAGAAGAAATCATGAAGTATATGCTTTATATTTCAAATTATCATATTATCTGCTATGTTCCTGGATAGTCTCATCAACCCACCATAGTTTCAATTATAATCAACTTTCTGATGACACCCAAATCTACATTTCCAGCCCTCTTTCCCTTTCGAGACTTATGTATCCAATTATCTTCATTATACCTACAATATACTTTCTTGCTACCTCCCTTAAAGTTGTAGAAGGATTATTTAAAGGGACTGCAACTAGCTTATTCAAACAAAAAAATTCAAGGTCTAAAGAAGCTATGTGTGATAGATACAGACTACAAGGGAAGGGAGGGCAGGCAGGAGAGACTGAAGGAAAAAATATTTGGTGGCTACTATGTGCCAAGCTCTGTGACAGATCAAGAGAGATCAATTGCAGCAACAACTCTATCAAGTAGGTATGACTACCCCACTATGAAGAAACTGAATTTTAAAGACATTTTTTAAAATATTTTATTTATTTATTTGACAGACAGAGATCACAAGTAGGCAGAGAGGCAGGCAGAGAGAGAGAAGGAAGCAGGCTCCCTGCTGAGCAGAGAGCCCGATACGGGGCTCGATCCCAGTACCCTGGGATCATGAACTGAGCTGAAGGCAGAGGCTTTAACCCACTGAGCCACCCAGGCGCCCCAAGAAACTGAATTTTCGAGAGACAAAATGCTTTGTTCAAGAAAGTAAAACTGGTAGGATTAAGAGTTCAAATTAAAATCTAGATTTTTTTTTAGAAGATTTTATTTATTTGAGAGAGACAGAGAGCTCGTGCACCTGCGTGACTGGGTGGGGGAGGCAGGTGCAGGTTGTTGGGGGAGAAGGATAGAGGGAGGGGGAGAGGGAAAAGCTGATTTCCTGATGAATGTGCAGCCTGTCAGGGGGCTCACTCCCAGGATCCTGAGGTCATGACCTGAGCCAAAGTCCACACTTAACTGAGTCACCCAGCTGCCCCTAAGATCTAAGTTTCTTAACTTACATCAACAGTCCTAAATTACCAAAACATTTAATGATACCTATTTTCATATAAATATTACATGGGGTTGTGTCAAAGATACAACAAATAATACGTGAACAAATATAATCTTAAGTCTCCATTAGAATTATTTTAAATTTTTATATGCAGAGTGAAAAAGTTTCATAGATAAATGTTATTCCAAATTTATTCAACAGTTTTAGGTTAAGATGATGGATTGAACACATTTATCTAATATCATTCCCTCCTGAAACTATACTAAAAGGGAAGGCGGGGGAAACCCTCTATAACGGGATCGAAGGAGGGAGAGTCTTAAGCAGACTCCATCCTGAGCGGCGAGCCTGATGCGGGGCTCGATCTCAATGGAGCGAAATCAAAGACGCTCAAGAGACTGTGCCAATCAGGTGTACCCATGAACTTTTTTTTAAGAGGCATAAACAATGGAAACTAAACCATAAAATATCTTGGGATTTGAAAACATGGTACACACCTCGGAGAAACAAAGTAACAGAAAAATTCATAGAGGTCATGAAGGTTGGTCACTGTATAAAGGAGAACTGGTTCCTAACTGATATATTAAAAATGTATAAACCTGAAGGCACACCTCAGCACACACAAGAAGTGATGACTAAAAGCTCACCAGATTGTGGATGAAATCTTTGTGCACCCTCCAAATATAGATAATGCAGATCAAGTTCATTCTCATTGCTCATATATCTTAGATGAGTCACAATAATGTAAGCCCCAAAATATATATGAACTCATGAATAAAATGGGGAAAAAAAATAATACCTCAAAAGGACCAGGAAAAAAAAGTCTGATCCTAAACTTTGTAAGTTTAGATAAGACACATGATATAAAGAGAATGAGTGTAATGAAAGAAAAGCCATTTACAAGAATCAAAGTGTTATTTTGTATAAGATAACTGCATTACTTTGGAGAAAATAAAGTTTGATGAAAGTTACTTCCTCCTCTTTTATAGTAATTTTCAGTTGTGACACTTTATGAATGATGGTATTTTCATATTATTCTTTGCCTGGTGTATAATTACATATTCTGTATTATAAAATAAAACTATGTGCTTTGTTTTATTGTATTAATAAGTGATATAATTTTAAAAAAGAGGCTAAACAGAAGAAGAGAAGATGGGACAACAGCAACATAATTTTGGAAGCTGGAAAGCAGATAACTAAGCTAAGTAACAGACTTGGCAGATCTTTCTATCAAATATGAGAAAAGGGCTTAAGGTCTCTGCATTTAGCCATCAATGTTCATAAAGAGTCAGCACCCACAAGATAACTGTGCCTGGCATCCTCACTGCTTTACTCTCTCCACAGAACAAACTGCTAGAAAAACAAAAAACAAAAAACAACAAAAGAAAAGAGAATAAACTGCTAAAATTCCTAGGTTTACAGTAATTCACAAAGTCTTTTTTAATGGGGCAGCAGTTCAGAAGGTGTGGTTCATGGGCTACCGAGGGTCCCAGAGACTCTTCCAGAAGACTGGAAGGTCAAAACTATTTACTATAAAAATAATAAAACATTATTTGCCTTTTCTCATTGGATTCATACTAGCAGGGAAAAACAACAGTGGGTAAAATGTGCTGCTTTACTGTGAATCAAGGTGGCATAAACTATATTAATAGTTACTGTACTCTTCACTACTACACAATCACAGAAAAAGAAAAAAAGCTAGTTTCACTTAAGAATGTTCTTAATGAAGCAGTTAAAATGATTAATTCTATTAAATCTCAGCTTTTGAGTATATCTCTTTAACATTCTGTATAACAAATGGGAAGTACATAGAAAGCCTTTTTTTTCTTTTTAGAGGTTTTTACTTATTTATTTTTATTTATTAATTTGACAGAGATCACAAGTAGGCAGAGAGAAAGGCAGAAAGAGAGAAGAGGAAGCAGGCTCCCTGCTGAGCAGAGAGCCCGACGTGGGGCTCGATCCCAGGACCCTGGGATCACGACCCGAGCCGAAGGCAGAGGCTTTAAGCCCCTGAGCCACCCAGGCGCCCCCATTTTTTTTTTGTTTAAGATTTTATTTATTTGTCAGAGAGAGAGAGAGCACAAGCAGGGGGAACAGTAGGCAGAGGGAGAAGCTCCTCCCCAAGGAGCCTGACACAGGACTCGATTCCAGGACCCCAGGATCATAACCTGAGCTGAAGGCAGACACTCAACTGACTGAGCCACCTAGGTATTCCCATAGAAAGCATTTCTGTTTTATCCTGGTTCAATGGTTATCCCAAGGAAAAGCGCTTATATAACTGTTTGAGTGAAGCGCTGAATTAGATGTGTTTACCATGGAACACCATTTTTATTTGAAAGAAGAAATGAAAGAAAAACTATGGTTATTCAGAGTTGGGTATCCATAAGTGTTTTGTTTTTTTTTTAATATTTTATTTATTTATCTGAGAGACAGAGAACATGCATGAGAGAGAGCACAAGTGGTGAAGAGGGAGAAGCAGGCTGTCCATCCACCAGGAAGCTGATCCAAACTTTAGCCTGATCTAAACTTAAAGATGGGTGGATATATTAATTAATGTGATTTTCTGATATCGTACAGTAAGATGTGTGAACATTTGGAAGATTTGCAAAATTCAGTGAACCAGTGTCTTCCAAATGACCGTGCATGGGTAAAAAGATCCACCCAAAGTGAAATTTTAATGAAACAAAGTATGAAAAGTTCATTAATACTGTTTGAGATTCCTTACTCCAACAAACCTTTAAGAAGCTATGACTTGTTAAAAAAACAACAACCCTATTACTTGTTGAATGTAGGTATAGTTTCAGAGAAGGACATCCATAATCATCTGAAAAAGCTATTAAAATACTTCTCCTTCTGGATGCCAGTTAAGCAACTACCTTTGGCTCAGGTCATGATCCTACGGTGTTGGGACTGAGCCCACATGGGTTCCTGCTCAGTGGGGAGTCTGCTTCTTCCTCTATCCCACCCCCTACCTCCCCCTTGTGCACTCTTTCTCTAAAATAAATAAAATCTTAAAAAGAAATACCCTTCCTTTTCCAATTATATATGTTTAAGGCCTTCTTTTTCTCATATACTTTAACCGAAACAATGTATCGTAACAGACTGAATACAGAAAGCAGATATTAGAAACCAGCTTCCACTAAGCCAGACATTAAAGCTACCCGCAAAAATGCAAAACAATGCCACTCTTAGCACTTTTTTTGTTTTTTAAAAAGTTGGTTTTCTTTAAAATGTATTATTATTTTTTTATATAAAAAGCAGTTTGGGGGCGCCTGGGTGGCTCAGTGGGTTAAGCCGCTGCCTTCGGCTCAGGTCATGATCTCAGGGTCCTGGGATCAAGTCCCGCGTTGGGCTCTCTGCTCAGTGGGGAGCCCGATTCCCTCTCTCTCTCTGCCTGCCTCTCTGTCTACTTGTGATCTCTCTCTGTCAAATAAATAAATAAAATCTTTAAAAAAAAAAAGCAGTTTGGTTTTTTTCCAAAGATTTTATTTATTTATTTGCCAAAGAGAGAGAGAGAGATCACAAGTAGGCAGAGAGAAGAGAAGGGGAAGCAGGCTCCCCGCTGAGCAGAGAGCCCGATGCGGGGCTTGGTCCCAGGACCCAGAATGACCCAATCTGAAGGCAGAGGCTTAACCCACTGAGCCACCATATTATTTATGGATACCTGGGAGGCACAGTCAGTTGAAAATGGATTCTTGGCTTTGGCTCGGGTCATGAGATCAAGCCTGTGTTGGGTTCTGTACTCAGAGTAGTCTGCTTAAGATTCTCCATCTCCCTCCCATTCTGCCCCTCCCTGTCACATGCTCTCTCAGATAAATAAGTAAATAAATTAAAAAGAAAAATTTTTTATTATTTATGTTAAAATGTATTTGGTTTTATTTTTATTTTCATTATTTTTTAAAGATTTTATTTATTTGTCATAGAGAGAGAGTGCAAGCACAAGCAAGGGGAGAGGCAGGCAGAGAGAAAAGCAGGCTCCCTGCTCAGCAGGGACTCAATCCCAGAACCCTGGGATCATGACCCGAGCCAAAGGCAGACACTTAACCGACTGAGCCATTGAGGCGTCCCTGGTTTTATTTTTAAATGAATAAATACATATTCAAAAATTTTATTTTAATTTCTAATATGGTAAGTATTAATAAATAAAACCCACACAAAGAAATCTCCTTGGGGACCTGAGATCAAAAATTTGAGAAATGCTGTACTAGAAAATAAATTATGTTTTCCTAAAAAGCTGTACATTACTTATGAGTGGTATGGGATCTTTTCTTTCTTCTTCCTTTCTTGTAACCTTTATTAAGCATGCACAATACCAGTATGCTGATCATCTTAGGGGAAGCAGTGTCACTTAAAAGCAATTCGGGGACAAGAAAGAATTATGATGAATATAGCTACTGATAATATGTACAATACCAAAAATAAAATTTATGATCAGAAACAAAGGCTATTTTCAAAATCAACTACTTACTTCTCCACCAAGAACTCTGGCCAGTAAGAAAATTGTTAGGGAACCAAATATCCAAATGGTTATAATCCATGAGACCACCTTAAGAGAAAAAAAAATTCATGCAATTAATATCTTTGTACCAAATAAGGTGATAATTTCCCTCGAAGTCAATTCTCTGCTTATGTAAGACAGTTTGGTATATCCAATTTCAGGTCATAGAGAGTTTGAGTTCCCAGGTATCTTTCCAAAACCTAGTAAGAATGCAGTATGTTCATACAATTTTATATTCAAAGTAAAACTTAGCAATGATCAATTGCCTAAGAAAATCTCAGTATTTCAAGATCTCTGATCAAAAATTACTGTAAAAAATGAGCAAAGTATTTACTTCCAAACCTCTGGTTTACAACATCTTGCAAGGAGAATTCATCCCTATAAGAAGTTATAGGTCTTCTCCCAAGGTCTTTAAAATTTACATTAATTATATATGTAACTGGGAGATGTTTCAGATAATTTTAACTCCTGAGACTTAGTGTGATAATCATATATCCCTCTATCTCCAAGTTTTGTCTGCTTGCAGGGTCTAGAAATAATGAAGACCCAACAGCAAAATAAGCATACTTATTGCCCAGATCCTGGTTTCTAAGTATCATTCCCCGATAAAAGGAACTAGGACTCTTTTGATAAATAACTGATGTCAGGGTTGGGGCAGGGAAGATAAAAGGTGAGCCCAGAACACTCTATGGACTTAGAAGGAAAGGAAATGCTCAAAAAACTAATGGGAAGATGCTGAAAGGACACAAAGGCTAACCTGAAGGAGTTCCCAATGCTTAAGCTGGAATAATCTCACCAATAAAATAAATAATGATAGCACGGGGTTATAATCCAGAAAATAAAATAAATACTCATGATTCCATACTGACATAAATAAATACAACAATATTTAAGCAATGGCAAAGTACGGGTAGCTATTCCATAGAGAATACCAATAATACATGTGGAAGGAATGAGGAAAACAGAACACCACCATGCAGTAAACACTATAGTGTAATTGTTGAACTCAAGATCCATCAACAGATGCTAAAATTAGTGAGCTAAAGTTTGACGAGAAACACAATGTCTGCATAGTCATAAAGTATCTCCACAAGATACTTATTTATTAATTAAGAGGGAAAAATAACAACTTTACAGTGGAGGAACTGGGCAGATACCACCCTATCACCTAATCAAGCAACCAATGTTAAAGGTTAATCAATAAATCAGTAAAAGATATATCAATATCGGGGCGCCTGGGTGGCTCAGTGGGTTAAGCCGCTGCCTTCGGCTCAGGTCATGATCTCAGGGTCCTGGGATCGAGTCCCGCATTGGGCTCTCTGCTCGGCAGAGAGCCTGCTTCTTTCTCTCTCTCTCTCTCTGCCTGCTTCTCTGCCTACTTGTGATCTCTCTCTGTCAAATAAATAAATAAAATCTTTAAAAAAAAAAAAAAGATATATCATTATCACATATTCCCTAAGAGTATACTGAGGACACAAAATAGTATCCTTACCAAAAATTCATGACCCCAATCTAGTCACAGAAAACATCAAGTAAAACCAAACTGAGTGATATTCTATGGAGGCAATAATCTGTTTTTAGCCTTACAATCCTTTGTTCAAATGAAAGATTATACAAAATAGATAAAATTAGAGATGTTCTAGGTGAAGGATTAGTGGTGAGTAGTAGACCAGAATCCCATTCGACTTCTTCAACTCGTATTTCCAACAGAATACTTGATATAAACTACTGATCTAAGGTAAATATTAATAAGACTAGTGTTATATTACATTAAGGATCTTGCTATTGGGAGATTATTCTGGATTATCCAAATGAGCACTAAATGTAATCACAACTGTCCTTTAAAAAGGGAGGCAGAGGGAGTTTTGACTACAGTAGAGAAGAAGGTAATGTGACCACAGTAGCAGAGATTATAGTCATGCCACCAGAAACCAAGGAAAGCTGACAGCCTCTAGACGTGGGTAGAGGCAATCAACAGAATCTGTCCTGGAGCCTACAGGGGAGTCAGCCCTGCTGACATTTTGATCTTAGCTCCTTCAAGCTCATTTTGAATTTCCAACTTCTGTAACTGTAAAATAAATTTTCACTGTTTTAAGCCACAAAACTAGTGGAAATTTGTTACAGAAGCAACAAGAAATGAATTCATTTCTTAATCATTCAGTGATAGTTATTTTTTACTTCCATAAAGCCTTAAACTAGGGATTAAGGAGTAATGTGTGTATGTTGTTTTGATAATAAAGATAAAGCCCCTGAGAGTAGAACAAAGTATTATATAAAAACAAATTCTGATGGAATCCTTGTCATTATTTACTAAAATATTTACTGTTATGTTTTAAAGTAAGCTCTAGGCCCAGTGTGGGGTGTGAACTCACAATCAAGAGTCATGTGCTCCACTGACCGAGCCAGCCAGGAGCCCCTAAAATATTTATTTTGAAAATAAATAAAAGGTAAGAACATGTTGAGTATTGTGTTTCAAACTCTTCATCCCTTGGGAGAAATCATAAAGGGCAAGGGCAGCCCTTTTGGTCTCTTTGGTCACTTTCGCTCAGCTGAGAGTAGTTTCATCTGTTAACCCAGTTGCAATACAATTGTTAGTACTTTCTATAAGAATGATGATATAAAAGTTTGGAAAGCATTAAAGTACTCCTCACTTATTTAATTAAAAAGAGTTCTAGAGATGAACAAGTTGGAAATAATGGGTAAAAGTAAAGCATTTCTTGGAGTGCCTGGGTGGCTCAGTAGGTTAAGCCTCTGCCTTCAGCTCAGGTCATGATCTCAGGGTCCTGGGATTGAGTCCCCCATTGGGCTCTCTACTCAGCAGGGAGCCTGCTTTCCCCCCCTCTCTGCCTGCCTCTCTGCCTACTTGTGATCTCTCTCTGTCAAATAAATAAATAAAAATCTTAAGAAAAAAAAAAAAGTAAAGCATTTCTTAAACATAATGTAGCATTACAGTTAACATTTGGCTACTTTTAATTTTAAAGCTCTTAAAATATTTCAATTTTGTATAAAGTAACATATACTTACCCTAAATTGTCCATACAATGATATCATGGAAAAGAAAAGAACAACAGCCAGAGGACCCCAAAAGTCAGGATTGTCCCTCACCACTTGTCTGTTAAAACCAAGTGATGGCATTGGCATCAAAACACACCGGATTTTGTAGTAAATATCCTTTAGATCGATATCCAGTTCCTCCCTATAATATAAAATAAAAATTCTTAAAAAGCATGCATTTCCGAATACTGAGACAGCTGCAATAAAATTAAAGTTTAAATATGACAGTGTCATCTCCATCGGTCAACAAAGCATTGCATTTTAAGTACAGCATTTCACTGATTCCATGGTGTACATTTTCAACATTTTAACCTCTCTAAAATCAGGATGCTTGTCACAACTGCTGGGGTCTCACCTTGTCAGCCTGGAGAGAAGCCAACTTCTTCCAAGATCTGCATTTCCATTTTACAGTCTCCTGGAGCCACTATTTTGGGGTAACTTTAAATAAAATCTTCTGCTTGAGCCCTTCTTGACCATACTGATAATTCAGACTACAATCCTATGAGAACTGGTGGGGGTTTCCATTCTCAGGAGATATTTTTCTTCTAACACCCCACCCACTGCCAAACTGAGACAAGCAAACATCCTTGCTGCCTCTTTTTGTAGGGTGGGTTGTTTCTCATTTATCCCTACACTAATAAGATAGCCTTTTGATGTCTTAGCTTTATGCTGCCTTACATACTGTTTCCTCCTTATTGATGAACATAAAATAATTGCATCTTATAACTCACTGTTTTAAATTTGATGAAATACAGTATATTAAGAAACAGAACATTTTAGGGGCGCCTGGGTGGCTCAGTGGGTTAAGCCACTGCCTTCGGCTCAGGTCATGATCTCAGGGTCCTGGGATCGAGCCCCGCATCGGGCTCTCTGCTCGGCAAGGAGCCTGCTTCCTCCTCTCTCTCTGCCTCTCTCTCTGCCTGCTTGTGATCTCTGTCTGTCAAATAAATAAATTAAAAAAAAAAAAAAAAAAAAAAAAGAAACAGAACATTTTAACACTTAATCTACCAACAATTACCACAGAGATTAACCTGATAATGCCTTGATTTCTTTCCCAAGCAGTTAAATTCTTTACTTTTTTTTCTCAAATGATAATCACTTGAAAAATTTCAAGTACTATGAAGAAAGTGAAAGACTCGCTCTAGTCCTGCCAGTGCTACCTCTACAATTTCTGCATGGGAGAGATTTTGGAGTGCTAATCTTTGTGGAAGTTTTAATTTGCCTTACACTTAATCTCCACAGCAAGCAGTCCGCTTTTTTACTTAGACTGGATGTTTACTTGAGATAGCTATAAGCCCAAGTAAGCCCTAACAGTTTGGAATATGTGTGTGTGTGTGTGTGTGTGTGTGTTTAGGTACCCGCACGTGAGCGAGACAAATATACAGGATTACGATTCTTTCCATTTTTCCCATCAATAGGGTTAAAATATTCTCATTATTTTAATTTTTCTAAATACTAGTAAAATTGAGAAGCATAATAGTCTAACCAAAAAGGTTAAGATCAGCCATACTTGTATTTAAATAACACGAAAGAATATAATCATCCGACAGACTAGTTCTAAAAAACAAAGAAACACATATTACGATTTTTACATACAAGAGTGGCTTGTTATCTTCAGGATCATCATCTTCAACTTCCAAAAGCCAGCCATATCCTCTTTGTCTCAGAAATGTAGTAGCTGTAGATTCTTTAATAAAATCTCCACCAAGGTTTAATTTGACATCTGGGGATGCTATTGAACCACTGAGATCTTAGGAGGAGAGAGGACAAAACTATAAATCAAGGTAAAAATGTGCGAATCTTAACCAACATGAATATAATATTCAAGTAAAATAATTATCATTTGAAGATCTCTATGAATATCTGCTATTGCATATAATCCTATTTTACAGCTGATAAATACCTAAAAACCATCTTTTATTTTACAACAAGAAAATGAAAGATGAGGGAAGTGAAGACGTTTAAAAGATTTCAGATAATTGGTTAGACCAGTAAAAGAATCTTAGACTTATAACAGCCACTTTATATGGATGATATATACAAAATATATTACATGGTATCATTTTGGATTCCCTTCATTATTATGCACACTATGTGCTTCAGAACAAATTGACTGTATAAATTCTAAAGGCATTATCCATATATATATATGTAAACCATTAGATAAAATTTGCTAAAGAAAAACTGCAAATGGCTTTCCCCTACATTTCATGTATTTATTTACACATTCTTTTCATTTAAATCACCAAATATCTATGCTAAGTGCTTTGTATATTAATGCTTGGTTCTGGATAACTGACTAGTAAGAGTTCCCCGCTATTTCAGCCCTTTTCTTTATATAATGACATCATTCATCTTTAGTTTGGGCAAAAATGAAGCTGTTTGGGGATTTTTGTTTTGCTTTAAGGGCAACTCTAAAAAGGAGTAAAGAGATTCAGTTACCCACATTACAAAATAAATTCCATTCATAGTCTCAACAGTGCCTTAGAGGTTACAGATCATTAAAATACTACAAATGCCACATTTTCTGGTTGAAAAACAAATGGCAATAGTAAAGGGACTGAGGTCGTACAGAAATTAAGTAAAAAAAAAAAAACCTGTAGGACCAGATAATACACACTATTAAGCAACCACCGCTGCTGTTAACTAGAAGCCTCATGACTGGAGTGATAGTTGAGACAATAATCTTGGCAAAGACAAACCAGAATAGTTTTTTTTTTTTTTTTAAAGATTTTATTTATTTATTTGTCAGAGAGAGAGCGAGTGAGCACAGGCAGACAGAGTGGCAGGCAGAGGCAGAGGGAGAAGCAGGCTCCCCACAGAACAAGGAGCCCGATGTGGGACTCGATCCCAGGACGCCGGGATCATGACCTGAGCCGAAGGCAGCTGCTTAACCAACTGAGCCACCCAGGCGTCCCAAACCAGAATAGTTTTAACACAGACTCTCCTTCCCTGAAGATCATATACAACATAAAGAGCTTAATTTGCACATTACTCCAAATTCTAGGTTACTTTTCGAGAACTGCTATTAAAATTTTGGCTTACACTTCAATTAATGAGTGGCTCAATTATGAGTCACATCTTAATCTGGTTGTGACAACTCCTGCAATTAATTGTAACAAAGTTTGTATTCTGAGGATAAGTCCTAGTTTTAGCTATTGATACAGCAAATCATTAATGTCCTCTGTCTCCAGTTTCCTACTCAAAATACTTTCCAGGTTTAGCAGTATATGATTCTAAAAAGTTTTTAAAAGGGAGTTGACTGAGCTTGAAATAAAATGCAAGTACTTTTGAATTCATGTCCTTCCCTATTTAGTCTAAAAATAGTTCCTGTAAGTGCTATCATAGAATCTTGGGACTAAAATATTCTCTGAAATTACTTTCTGCTTGTTTCAATCTAAATTGAGAGATAAATAAAAGAGGTGAAATGTAACTAAAATTCCATTTCCAATAGGTACAAAGAGTGCTTTTCTCGATTTAACAAAGGGAAGATTTAGATCAGGAAGTCATTAGTATGGCAATAACATTAAAGGTTTTAGAATTATGAGGCAGGAAAGGACCTTAACAACTGTTTCCTGGCCTCCAGAAAGGACTGCACCTAACAGTCCTTAATCTAAACCAAAAAAGGATATATAAATTATAGTACTAAAAAATGCTGTGATGAAGAATTTTATGTTCAGCTGTTTGTCACAGCATGGATGCCAGAACCTCAAAAAGGCACCTTTAGCTTCATTTTGTAGGTTTTTTTTTTATCCCATTTACTATAAAGTAGGAAAATATCATGGACATATGCAGGAATGCCAGTAATAGCAGTCTGACACATCCCTTAGTGTTCCCAAGATATAATTAGGTGTGGGTATGAAAAAGCAACAGAAAGTCAAAAAACTTGTAGTTAGCTTAACATGTTGACAAGAATGTCAGAAAACAAGAAGATTCCAAACTACTCCAGGAGCACAGGTTTCTTAAGTTAAACCAGAGTTAAGAACCAGCTAGCTTGGTTGTCAACTCCAGGACAGGTATTATAAAACATTAATTTTAAATTAATTCCTTCTTGCTATACTATTTATAATATTCTTGTCATTTGCTAAGTAAAACCAATGTAAAGATAATAAATATAAGTAGATTTGTTTTTTTTTTTTTTTTAAAGATTTTATTTATTTATTTGAGAGAGAGTGAAAGTGAGAGATATAGAAGGAGAGGGAGGAGCAGACATGCTGCTGAGCAGAGAACCCAATGCGGGGCTCAATCCCAGGACCCTGGGATCATGACCTGAGCTGAAGGCAGATACTTAACTAACTGAGCCACCCAGGCACCCCAATATAAGTGGATATAAAATAAATTAATCTTTGAAAAAAATCTACTGCAAAAGGAAATCCTAAAAACATTTCCACTTGTTTGCCTGAGAATGAGGAAGAGTATCAGTGAATTTCAAGTTTTACTGAAAGCCACCTGGAAATACTGCAGGATAAAATTTAATAGTAATTTTCCCCTCCCTTTAAACTCAAGTATATTACTAGATGAGGGATCTTTTCTGTGAATCTTCTGAGCCTGAGAACTTCACTTGGAAAGAGGAGGAAGAACTCAGCGCTATAGGATATCATACTCAGGATGAGATTTACTGATCCGCAACTAGACGAGTTCTATATTTCTGAGGAAGAAGAGTATTTTGCAAAGAATAATTAACATTTTGTTGATACCTGTTAACATTACATATGTGGAGAAGCTTTTTCTTATTTAACAAGCAACAAGGGCAAGGATAAAAATTCTCATTTCATGTGAAAATGAAGTCCATGTGTCCTTAAATCTAAAACAGAACTGAGTATTTGTGCAGCAAAATAAAACAAGCACATGTTTCACACTGAAAGGATAAATTCTATTGTTCCATTTTAGAGATAAAAACATTTTAATGCTTGCATAAGGCAATGAAAAGAGATCAAGAAACCGATGAGAGTAAATAACAATCTTGTAATTGCTAGACTTACATTGGATTTTGACGTTATTTCATAAGAAAGTTTTTTTTTAGATTTTACTTATTTGAGAGAGAGAGAGAGAGAGAGAGAGAGTGAGTGAGAGCATTTGCAGGGGGAGAGACCTGGAGTAGGCGGGGGGAGGGACAGAGGGAGAAGCAGACCCACAATCCTGGGATCATGAACTGGACAGAAGGCAGATGCTTAACTGACTGAGGCACCAAGGAAGAATAATTTTTATTATTCACACAGTAAGAAACATTTTTAAAGCCTCATATGAGATTGTGTCTTAGGTTATATTTTTATTCATACTGTTTTGATTTATGGTTTTAGTACCTTTACTCTTCAATACTGTTAGTACATTTTTATATTGTATACAATATTAATTAAAATCAATTAAATCAGGGTGCCCAGCTGGCTCAAGTTGGACAGCACGTGACTCCTGATCTCAAGGTCATGAGTTTTAGCCCCAAGTTGTATGTAAAAAGTGACCCCCAAAAAAAAGAAACTTAAAAAAAGTCAATTAAATCTCCTGAATCTACCTTTGGAAAAATTAAATCTCATTTTGGCTTAAACGTATTTAACAGAAATTTCTTTTGTCTTATGAATCTTTTAACCAAACTTTTTATTTTGAAATAATTATAGATTCACAGGAAGTTCCAAAACTAGTACAGAAAAGTTAGATATACCCTTCACCCAGCTTCTTTCAATGGTACCATGTTATATAACCACCAAAACCAGGACACTATCATTGATACAGTTTGCTTTTTTTCAGATTTTACCAGTTTTATATCCACTTATTTGTGTATGTATGTGTATATAGTTCTGTGTAATTTTATCACTTTTATAAATTTATATAATGCCTTATGAATTTAAAATTTATGGAAATAGTTTAATTTTTTAAAACAGTAAATCTTGCTTAACTACCCCAAGAAAGGCTGCCTAAAAAGTCATTTTCTTTTTCTTTCTTTCTTTCTTTCTCTTCCTTCCTTCCTTCCTTTATTTGACAGACAGGGATCACAAGTAGTCAGAGAGGCAGGTAGAGAGAGAGGAGGAAGCAGGCTCCCTGCTGAGCGGAGAGCCCATTGCAGGGCTCAATCCCAGGACCCTGGGATCATGACCTGAGCTGAAGGCAGAGGCTTTAACCCACTGAGCCACCCAGGCGCCCCCTAAAAAGTCATTTTCAACTTTCAAACAGGGAAGAAGAGCTATTCTTGCCCCATTATACACCACATATCATACTTCATAAGCCAATTGTATAGATGATATTTGCGATATCTATATGGAAACAGATATTTTTTTAAAGTAGGCTCCATGCCCACTGCAGAGCCCAGCCCAGGGCTTGAATTTACTACCCTGAGATCAAGAGTTGAGCGGAGATCAAGAGTCGGACACTTAACTGAGCCACATAGGAGCCCCACGTGGATATAATCTTTTAAAAATCAAGTAAGAAATTTTTATAAAAGAAAAATTAACAATTCTCTTGTCTACACTATTAACTTGTATTAGAGATAGTATCTAATTTGGGGAGGGGGAAATTCACACAAGGAACAGGCTAAATGTTTGGGTACCTTAACAGAAAATTATCACTCAAAAGAGCACTGATAGTAACTACTGGATTATTATGATATTGTAATTTCTATATAAGAGTGTCTTAGTCTGTTCAGGCTGCTGTAACCAAAGATCATAGACAGGTTGCCTTATAAAATTAGAAATTTATTTCTCATAGTTTTAGAGGCTCTAAAGTCTAAGATCTAAAGGCTTAGATGGCTAAAGTCTTCTT